TGCCGAGAAACAGGGCAAATTGTGACCTTGATAGAATAAATTCCACCCTGATAGAATTCCAAAGATCCAGATCAAGCAGGATCTATGTACACAAGCCTTACTATAAACAAAGTGTTAAAATCCAGAGGGATCCAACTGGAAAAAATTCCAGAGCAGGGGCATTGTTCCCAGAGGCAGAGTGGAGAGAATACTACTTCCAAACCCAGTTATTCAGAATTCTAACAGACTATAATATAAAAATGTAAGAACAGAGCCAACCCCAAAGGACTGAAGATTGTGGGAATGGCAAAGTGAGAGCAGGACCAGGCTCACAGCAGGATTCCCCCACATATCAGGCAGGCACTGTGAGAAAAACAGAGAAGTGCAGGGTACATGGGGAACACACTTTCCCTAACTGTGATCTGTGCTTACCATGCCAGATAGGCCTAGAATTATCACAGGATGCACATTTTTTCCATTCTTAATGGCAACTGAAATATAATTATAAAAACTATACAACAACTTACCTCACTGTGATCACTGTAAGAATTTGAAAGTGTTATTAAAAATTAACATTTCTAAACTAAAATTTCCATTTTACTAACTGCAGTGGGTACTAATGGCTACATACACTGCTATCCTCCTCTTGCATTTTGCTCCAGTGTTGAAAGGGCACATTCCACTTTGCTATGCAGCCAATGTGATTCAGGAGAAACTGACCCCACTCCACAGTTCAAATGAGCCACTCAGAGTAATCCCAGTTCCCTGCCCTGTGATCACTCAGCTCAACCCAACAGCATTGGCATATCTCTTGGCAACTGGTATCAGTCCAGGCACATGGCGTAAATCAGCCATACTTTAGGGGAAGGCTGTTTTTCAATGGAAACAAAGGCAAGCATGTTCAAGTCAGTGGAAGCCAGCATTTGGGTAAAGTCACCACATGAGGGGACTGAGCAAAGAGAATGAGAGAATGTCAGAAAGGCAGAGCCAGAGCTCTGTTTTCACCAGGCATTCCCTACTTTTCACTTTCTTTTGTAGGCAATAACTTCCTTAGCGTTTAAGCCAGTTTGAGGTGGATGATCTTGACTCTTCAGCTGAAAGTATCCTTAGAGATCCATAAAAAAACGATTCCCAAACTGTCTGCATATTGAAATCACCTGAAGACTTTCAAAAGTAGCTGATGCCCATGTTCCACTCAGAGATTATGATTTATTGGTGTTTTGTGTGTCTGGGTGAGCAAATTAATTTTTCAGCTCCCTGTCTTTCTGGAGATTCTTGAGAATTTATCACTGCCCAAGACAGATGGAATACTCTGAAACTCCTCAAAGTGACAGAGAATATGTGTTCCCACCAGTACTCTGTCTACCCCCCATAATGAAAGAGATATTTTTATGCTTTGCAACAAGATTTGAGTTGCTCTCCAACTACCCTGCTTGGATTTCTGCTTGATTCCCTTGTCTGTACCACATTTCAGAAGATATGAGTTAGAGAGACTTCTTTATTAAAATAGGAATATAAATCTCTGTTAAGTCATAGTTTATAGTGTCAAGGAGCCATAGTGAGTGATCCCAGCTGCTCATCAATAATTCCTTTCTTAAATGGTGTTATGGCTAAAAGGACAGAGATAGACTAGGAGAGAACTTAAGATTTGACCTTACGGTTAACATGCGCTGATACCCTAAACCTCGATCCCCTACTGCATGTTAAACTGAGAAAATTAGTATCTATTTCATCTACATAGTAGAGCTTTTGTGAATAATATGAGATAATACAATGAAGAAAACTCAGAATAAAAAAGTGCTCAGTGAACATAAGTTATTATCATGAGAGGTCTAGTAAGTTAGAAATGCGTCTACACCTAACCCTAACAAACACAGTGGAGCCAGCATGATGAAACGGCTTGGGGAGTTAAATCTTCTACCAGCCCCTTCTCTTTCTCCACCCCTTCATTCGTCCTCTCACCACCCCGCATAAAATATCAAACCTGCTCTGTAAATGCAACTCTAAGAACTATCCCGGCTCTAACTCACTTTTGACCGGATTGCCACCCTATAAGCTCCCCATGTAGAAATCCTAGGGCTGTCACTAATAGGCAGGAAGTTTGTTCTTTTCTCTAGGTTTTTCGAAGCATTCCGCTTCCTCATCACGAGTATACCTCTGGGTACCACAATGCTATATCACTCCCCACTTGAATTATAATGTCTATCAAAAGAGGCGTCTCTTGGGAGGCTTGAGTGCTAAGTGAGGAGTGACTTTTAGAGAGATGTTTGGGAAATGGTTTCAATATTTGGCAGTTCCTAAAGGCAAGATGATTTGAGATATTGTTGGTTTTTTTTTTTTAAATACTTGATCAGCTCATACTATTCCCTTATTTCTGAAAATGCCTTGTCATTACAATATTTCATTTGGCAGTTGCACCAAAGTAGGACTTTCATAAACCAAAGGATTGTAATTTTTAGTTTATTCCATTCATTTATCATATGTTTCACATATATCACATAAATGTATATATTCACTAGGAAATCAATCTTTCTTTTACAGATCTCTCCATTAAAATGTACCATTCTGAAACTAAAGACATAGACAATGCCCCAAGAATCGAAACAGCTGAAAGTACTGCAAAAATGTACAAACTGTCAACCATGAGGCGAATATTCGATTTGGCAAAGCATCGAACAAAAAGATCAGCATTTTTCCCAACTGGGCTTAAAGTCTGTCCGCAGGAATCCATGAAACAGATTTTAGCCAGTCTTCAAGCTTATTATAGATTGAGAGGTAAGAAAAGAGATGAAACCTATTTAGCCTTTCGTTCTTTTCTTCCCTTCCCTTTCATTCATCCATAGGTCGTTTTCAGCCCAAAACTTCCAGAGTCTCTCAGCCACAAGAGTTATAAAAATCAGCCAGCTAATCAAAAGTATGATAGATATCTGTTCTTATGTTTTAAAATAATATCCCGTACAACAGAGAAGCATTAAGGCATTTAACAAGTCACCAGAGAGTCTCAGTATCTGGTTTTACCTCTTTTATTTTTGTCAAAGTTTAATATTGAATTTTAATGTTGTTATTACAAAGTAAGAAGCAGAGGATGATTGTAACCTCAGGAATCTGAGCAAGTTGATTTACAAAGTGAGATTTTATTTTTCAGAAGCAACATTACAATCCAGATACTCTCTCCCTTCTTGAAAATGTAAATTGTTTATTGCTAATTCGGCAAAACCTATTGAAGCTATGAAACCTGGAGGCACCACCTGAGTGCAAAGGGTTACAAATTAACAGCAGGTACCAAGACATAATGCAGGGGTGTTGATGGGATTTACAACATAATTACTGTGATTTCTAGTAGAGTTACAGTGCAGTTTTTACCCCAAGACAGCATCATAGGATTCTTACAGCATTCCTGGAAATCAGCGTGGAGTTCAATCACTCCACAGCAATCGGTGGCTGTCCTTGTCATTCACTTACCATGGATGAAAAGATTCCCATAGTTTCTTCTTTAAATGGAACACAGAATTTTTGGTAGCTGCTATTAAATTCCCCAGGTAGCTCCAAATAGTGTAAAGTATCTTGTTTAGCTGAAGCATAAACTCAATTTATCTTACAGGTGAAAGTTGAGGAGGTTTACTGATTTTTACCTTGATCATACAAGATGTTTGTTTCCATTCCAAAAAGCACAGTCACCCTGATCTATTTCAAGCCTATTGACTAGAGCAAGCTGGTTCAATTGTAGCCTGTGATGTGTTGTACATTATGACAACTGAAAACCATTTCATGATACTAATGTTCCAAAAAGCTCTTGAGTATTTACCTCTGTAATATGTACAAGGATTGTATTAATCTGGGGCGTTCTCACTGGGTTTTAGAGGCATAATTAACTAACAGTATCAAAAATATCAAGCCTTATGTTCCTCATATGTCTCATTTTATATAGAAATAAAGAGAGATTTACTTTCTGACAGAAACCACACCCACAGAGAAATGACAAGTACTGGATCATAGTCAGAAGGAGAACTCTAATTATAGGAAATCAAGTGCTCTATGTTAATATTCTGAGGTCCTAGCACAGAATTTCTGCATAGCAGGTTCTCAGTAAACGCTTATTGATGAATACAGGAAGCAAAGAGGCCATTGGGAATGCGAAGAAAAGACGGTAACATGAGTAAATAATTTATTTTGAATGTGCCTACACATTGATCAGATGACACAGGTAAATTCTATTTATTCGTTCTTGGATGGAAGTATAAATTTATGTATAGTATATGCATCATATTGAATATGAACACTATTGCTAACTTTTCATGTAACTTCTAATTCTTTATGACATTCACAAATAGGATTCATCACAAGTATTTGTGGAAAAGATTATTGCTGCAACCAAATTTTTAGCTCTGAATTTTATTCTTAGCTCTTTATTCTTGATTAGGTTTGCCTCTTTCATTCTTGCCTTTCTGGATGAAACTAACCATGGCAATGACAGTCCATTATCTTTATGGCTGCCCCTGGGTGACATAAAATTTTACTGTTCATCAACATGGATTTCTCAAGTCTAACAAATTGGTTTATAAAGAAACTAGAAATAACATGCAGCTACAGAGCAGTGTTTCTTTGACAGAGTAACCCACTGATTCTCGTAGCTACTTTTACAAAATGATCTGTTGACATCTTTTAAACTTAGGAGAGAAAGCTCTTATATTCCTCAGACCAGATGGAATATTGAGCTATTTCTTTTCCCAATGCTTAAAGCAACACAAATGAAAATGTTTCAAGCTTCATGGTAGGATCATAAACATGTTCATCCCAAAGAAGAGACACAGAGGAGGCAAGTATATTTCTAGTTGTCTCCAGGGGGAACCCTGTGCTCCTACCCAGGCAAACTTCCTCCTTTGTGACTGCCTTCCTTCAAACTGCCCATCCCCTATGTCTCTCTATCCCCCTTCCTCTCTTCCTCTATCTGTCTGCTTTCTTCTCTTTTTCCCAACCCCAATATCAAAAGCTAGATCTTTCTTTCACATTAACATGTGACTTAGAGAAAGTTAACGAAGGATGGAGTCCTAGTTCTTGCTGCTCCTGTAGATTTACCTGTAGACCAGAACAGGTAAATCAGGGGTTAGAAAAATCCAACTTTCAGAAATTTTTAGACTCCTCCCAGCCCGGCGGTACTTTGAGGCCTCAACTTTCTCGGGTTCTTTTGATGCTCTCTTGGTGAGAACGAGAGACTCTCCCAAGGAGTCACGGGCTAATGCTCTTATTCTCCCAACCACAGAAGGATTCAATGCCTCCCGGTTTGTGTTAAGCTTCCAAGAGGCCAGAAAAATGACCTCAAATTAGTTACCAAAAAAACCCACCTCTCAGAGTCAAAAAAAAAAAAAAAAAAGCTAGTTGTTCCTGTTTCATCCTAATATTTTGATCCCTATAAACTACAACACTCCAGGGAGAGAATTCTTCAAGAAAATTCAGACATTTGTCCTTTGGGGAGAAAGTTCTCTTAGAGCTTTTGTGAAAGGTAGATTTTAATGGGGATGGGGGTGTTCTGTGTCCCTGCGGTGAAAGAAAGGCAAAGGAGCAGAGCTGGGAAGATGCAGGCACCAAAATAAGCCTTAAATAGGACTGAAATAAAAGGAAGATTTAATCTGAGACCAAGACAACACAGGCGAGAATGTGTCAAACTGGTAAACAGAAAGATTATCACATTACATCCTCTCAGATGTTTTGTACATGGATATTGTTAGTGAAAGTCGCCAATGCCAAGCCCTCAAAGGCAGGGCTAGTTTATTTTATGTATTGTTGTGTATCTAGGAATTCAGTGGGTTTTGAACTAAACTATCAAGTACATTAGGGAAATATGGAAGGGCAAAATAATATCCCCCAAGAGCGTATAAAGTATGTAGGTGAGAAAAATAGCAAGGGTAGCTGTTGGCTTGGACTAAACCCGTACTCTTAGAGTTTGAACAAATGTTTCCTTCTTGCATGATATGTAGACTCTTGACTAGAAATGGTTGGTATCAGAAAAGGCATTAAAACTCTCTGATCCTTGCCTGGCAGGAGAGAGATTACGTTCACAAACAAGGGTTCTCCAGTAAGAGACTATTATATTGGTCTCCAGGTGTGCCTGACCTCTGTTATTCTCCAGATGTGGAAAATTCAATGCACATTTGCGGTAGTAGGCTCTGCACCCCCTCCTGGCTTTGCGGATTCTGATCAGGTTGCTGCTGGTAAATGACCTGAACTTCTTTGGTCTAGAATTCTCCTTGCCTCTTAAAACAGAAAGCTAAGAAAAATCCAGACATAGAGTAAGTGGGGAATGAGGGAGAATAAAGTATAGGAATAAACTCACCTTATTCCTCCCCACAACCCCTTTCTCAGCGCAGTAGCCAAAGAGTTTCTTTAGAAAATCAAGTGATGTCAGCTTCTGCCCCAAAGCCTCCTAATGCTCCATTTCTCTAGAGGTAAAAAAATCAACGTATTATAATTGCTTATAACAAAAGTCATCTAATTTTTTTTTTCACTTAGTCCTCTAAATTAATTTTTAAACTACGCACACCTCTGTGTGCTTTTCAGTTGATATCTAAAGTTTTTATCTTAAGTTTAAGTAGTTGGGTAGAATGTAACTTTTGGCAACTTGTAAAAATTGACATTGAAAATAAAACAAGAATTAGAGCATTCATGTGTATCCAGTGGAATCTATCATAGCCACTCAATACTTTGAATCAATTCTCTTAACAAATAAATGAACTTTTCTTAACAGCGGGAAATATCACATGGTTCCTTTTTCTCCATATAGCCACATTTCTATTCTACTTCCCACTTCGGAGATATATTTTAATGTAATTTATTTTAAACTTGAAAGTCTATTATTGATTGCTTTAAAATACTTCTCAGTAACAAAAATATACACATAAATTGAAATTATTTTTTTTCTTTTCTGTTACTATGTGTACAAAGAAATTTATTCTGGGTTAATTTGTATTTATAATTACTTTTTAATATATAATTGATTAAACAAATAGATATATAAATTTCACAAAAAATTTTAATTGTTAATAACAGATATAAGATCAGATACTGGCTTTGTGGGTACTCATGTTTATGAATACAAAATTAGGAACAATGCTTTGGAAGAGGCCAGTTTAAATAAAGGGCCCATAGCTTAAATTTTATTAGCTTCTGCTTCTGGATATATGGGATTGCTTTGGTGTTGTTCTTCCGTTATTTTATGTAATATTACATATTGTTCCTATTATATATTGCTAAAATAAGACAGGATTTAGCATCAATTTTATCTCTATTCTTTTACTTAGTTTCACTTAAATGCAGAGAAAACTTGATACATAAATAACTAGATGAGAACAGAGGGAGTTTGTTATAGCAATATCTTATTCTTTAAGTTTCTTTGGCATTATATGCTAACAATCACATCGTGTTCTGTCACCATTATTTTTAATGATTTATCGGCCATCGACTCCATTAGGACTCCTGATGTGCTAAAAGCAAAGAATAGGAAACCACCTTAATTGCAAAACTGTGTGTTACCCCTCAACTAAGTTTACTTGCTTTCTTAGCTTCAAAGCTATTATTTCAAATCATCCCTTTATGTGGTAACCTAGGGGCACTGTGTGCCACAATAAGATTAGGGGTCAATGAATGGGGGAAGAATGACAACCAAAGGGAAAGTGAAGAAGGAAAGGTGTACCCTTAGACTGATATTAGGAAAGCAAGATAGGAAAGTTGAGACTTAGTAATTAATTCTATTTGAACTGTGTGCCTGTTTATCTCTTGGAAAGCCTTCAAATACAACCAGTATCTGTGGCCGGTCTGAAGACTATGGGTCTACAAGGCCCTACACAATTTGTGTTCCCCTCCCCACATTCTTCTTTATTCATCGTCTGATACTTTTAACCTTGTTCTGGCTATTCTGTTTCTTCAATGCTCGTAGCATCCTCCGGCCTTGAGGCCTTTTTCAAAACTGCTTGAAAGTCACCTTTTACGATGAAGCTTTCCTCAACTACCCTATTTAAATTGCAGTCTTACACACACGCACACACACACGCATTCATATTCCCTATCTTCTTCTTTTATTTTTCTCCATAGCATATAGATGCTCAATAAATAGTTGTTAGGTGAATTAATTTCTATGGGCTATAAATTAGCGTGTCAAAATAAGCCTCAAAAAAGCTTTCCATGTCAGGAGATTGTGCTTGAATTGTGAGAAGGACACCTTCTACTCTTAATGACTCTGCATTACAGTGTGTCAGGAAGCTGTGTGGGAAGCATATCGGATCTTTCTGGATCGCATCCCTGACACAGGGGAATACCAAGATTGGGTCAACATCTGCCAGCAGGAGACTTTCTGCCTCTTTGAAATTGGCAAAAATTTCAGCAACTCCCAGGAGCACCTGGATCTTCTTCAGCAGGTAAGCTTAAACACTACATGTTTGGAATATTTCCCAAATAAATATCTCCCAGACCTCCAGCCCCTATCCCTTTTGAATTGGTTTCCACAGCATAGGGTTGTTTGAAGACATGCTTGGAGATATACGATAAGGCCAATAGGAGTTTTATTTCTGCAAAGTAACATTGTACAGACAAGTTGAAATAAAGAAAATGAAAATAGACTTTAGCTCTTCGGTTGGCATAATCTCTTGGTAAAATTACTTTTTCTCTTTCTGCAGAGAATAAAACAGAGAAACTTCCCTGAGAGGTAAGTACCTAAAATAGAGTGCTGCGTGCTCTTGACTTTTGAAAGATCTCATAATGGAGTGAGACTCAGCTATTGTACCTTTATGATATTATGTCAGCCACTGAGATCTGTGTAGGTAATTCTGATAGACAATTTATACACATATTGTGCTAAATATAAATGAATATATAAAAAAGAAAATTGTTAGACCTTATAGAGTAAGATATATGTTTGTACTATGTTTTCAGATAATATGAATTTATTACTATGTGATAAATATCTAACATGTATTTTCACTTATAAGATATAGAGCAATTAAAATAGTATGATTTTTAGAATTTGTGATAAATTATTAGTTACATCATGAAACTAATCTAGAGAGCAACTTCAATTTGAACTCTCGTTTGGTATTCTATAAAATGTTAGTATTTCTCAAACTAAATTACTAAAGCAATGGCTATATCCTCAACAAGAACTGAATGTCAAATAAGAAAATCAAAATGCAAAAAAAAAAAAAAAAGGAAAAATACAGAGATAAAATAATTAAACAAGAGAGATGTCATTGCCAAATTCTAATCTCACAAATTACATACATTTTATAACATTTAGAAATCCAAATCTGCAGATACTAATACTACAAAGAGTAACACAAATTTGGCTATATGAATTGCTGACAATCCTTTATACTGCTTTTCTCATTTGTTCCTTCATTTCTATTCCCTTTGCCAACAACTCAGGCCAGGACCTTATTACCTCACACCGTAAAAAACATCAAATCTGATCTCCCTAACAGATTTTCCTGGCTCTAACCTCTTCCCCACACTAACTTGCATAACTGATGTAGGACTAATGTGTCTACCATAGTCCTTTTGTTACACTGAGCCCTGTTCAATGGCTTTCAAAAGATTCCCACGTCTTCCTCTTGCCCTTCTAAATATAATCCCCTCTCTGCACTTCCCTACCGCTCTGTGCTGAAGGCTGAGCGGAAAAGACTGACTCCCTGGCATCCTGTGCCCTCTGACTACTAGATAGGGCCAGCCAATAGGAAGCAAGATATCAGAGGAGGTGAAGAGAATAAGGTGAGCGAATTTATTGCCTCCTCTTCCCCCACTCCCCAACCTGCAAAGTCTCGGTGAGGGCAGCTATTGGTCTCCTTCAACTTCAGCTCAGTTCCTGTGAGGTGGCCCTCTCAACGGAGCTTTCTCTGTCTCTAGTTTGTGGTAACTGCTCCATCCTCTTACCCCTCCTGCCAGAGGAGAGGTCTAGCACCTCGCTGTTACCAGCCCCCGGATTCTGCATTCTCGCTTGTGGTTGCTTACATTCTTCCCACAACTTAGTAAGTAATCTCTTTATTAAACTTTGCTCAAACTACCCCACTATGAGTGAGTCATCTGTTTTCTGCCAGGACCTTCACTGAGGCAGAAGCCAAACTAATTAATCGAGGCATGTCAACTCCTGACCTTTTCAACTTTGCCTTTCATTACCCATGATTCCACTGCTGCCACCATGCCACTTCCTCACTGCAGAGACCACACCCAACTCATCCCAGACTCTGACTCCAAGCCTTTCTCTCTTGCCTGAAAGAACCTGCCTCCTCCACTCCACTCCATCTCTCTAAATCCCACTCTCCTTTCAAGTCCCACCTCTTCATGATATCTTAACCACCTATTTGAGCCTGCAGCAATCTCTCCCTGCTTTGAAATTGGCGTTCTATTTGGTACTTACATTGTTATTTAACATTTCCTTGCTTTACCCTGTTTCCTGTGAAAGCAGAAACACCTCCAGGGCAGAAACTGTTTTATATTTCTCCACCAACTGCTATAGGACGGTCTTCATATATTTATAATATATAACAGTTCTAAATATGTCTATCTAGCCACACTTTTATAAATTTTTTAAAGCTATTGCCAAAATAAATAATGTGACTTAAGAAAATATTAGTACTAGAGTTTTAACGTTGTTCGCAAGACAAGGGATATTGATGCCTCTAATTTAAATTTAGGATAATATCAACTCCTTCATTTTCCAAAAAGAAAAAGAAAGTAAAGCAGAGGTTATTCATAAGAAAAAAAATTCAACACATACCAAGCCTTGATAGCAAAACATTAAAAATTACAGGAAATGATTATATAAGCCAGAAAGAGAAAGATATAGAATCATTCCACCAATTCTTGTGCCTACCAGCATTGATAGAAAGAAGAAACTAGAGACATTTTACATTACCTATTGTTACCAAGTTGTTTCTAAAAACAGAAAGAAAGAATATAAAAGGAAAGGGTAAAAAAAAACCTCTTTTACTTCAAACATTTTCAAGAAAACAAAACAGAAAATTTTCTCATCTGACTAGCTCATCAGTCTGCCAGTTTCAAATGACTTTAAAATAAAAGCCAGTGGAAGAAACCAGCAGCCTAGCTTCCCAAATTGTAGCTTCTCAGTGATGGTCTAGATTGTCAGTGTAGTGGCAGAATCACACCTGCACAAAATAGGCTGTTGAATTGTAACAAATGCAACAGCCAGTATTTTAATAACTGCTCTTCTTGGTTATTTTCTTTTTCACAAGGTAAAAAAAAAAAAAGGATACCAATGTTATAACAGGAGAAAGGAAACCTTGCTATAAACAAAAATCTATAAATTAAAAAAAAAAGAAAGAAAATTGTCTAAGTTACAAATGCTATGTTTGACATAATGAAAGTTTACTAAATATTACTTCCATAAAAACTATTTATTAGACATATAGCATAATACCAACAAAAACAAACAAGAATAGCTAATTCCAAATTCCATTATAAAGTCTGAGTTTAATTTAGCCTGTATGTACCAATATAGTCATCCATATTTACAGCTGACATCCATTCTGATTGGTCAGAGCCCATGCCAGGCTGATGGATATATTTTGTACATTAACCTCTATCAGCCCTTTGGCAGAATTGAGTGTGGTAGAAATATGCAGATGGTCCCCTTGGCTATGGCCAATCTCTATGACACTACAACAGTAGAGCACCTAGCCATTCCATTTGGTCTTCCATCAGCATGAGCCACAGAAAAATTGGATCAAATGTATTGGTCAACCATCACTATATTATACACAGACACAATTCTTTGAGACCTACTAGCTCATAGTAACAAATCTTTTCATGAGTTTCAAAAAATATCACTACTGCTACTTCTTTCTAAACAAAGCTTGCTTGAATGGGCCAACATTATATGCAGACAATTCAATAACAATGACCTTTATTCTGCCCTTAGAATATATCCCACACTGCCACTCCATGGCACTGTGAACCTACCCACAACTTCCTGGCTGGTTACTATTGCAGGCAATTGTTACGTTAAGAATAGGGCTTTAATACATCTACATTCTCCAGAAATCTATCTCTCTCCCATTATTGTACCCACAAGAATTATTTTATTGAATAAACTTAATGGCTATCTGAATTTGCAGGTTTGAGGGTCTGAGATTTTAGCAAGAATATTTCAGTCATAGATCATGCCATCAATTATCTTTGATGTCAAGGACACAGTTTAAGCACAAGGGACTATAAACATCAAACCCCCAAATCCATCTTTGCCTACTAGGGAATGTTTGCAGGACCACAAAAAGCTAAGGTGCTTATGAAAAGCCCTGGAGTCAAACATAACCATTTTAAGGGAGTTTGAATTTTTCTTCAATGAAAACATATTAGAAGATTACTACTGCAATGAAAAAAATAGATAAACCCAGTTTTAAAGTGTACTTTTTCTCTAATTTTTACGTCTATTAAATATAGGTAAATTTAAATGCATTTCTCCTATTGTCATCAAGCTCCTTGTCACCACATCTGTTTTCTCCTCTATTTTGTTGATAGAAAAGATGAAATAGCCACAGAGGAGATATTACAAGAGCTGGGTGAAACCCCCGCATTTTCAACAGGTAAGCTTAGATCTCATTTCGTCTGCTTCTGAACCTTAACTCAAATCATCATGAAAGCATGGTAATAAAAGCAATTCTTAATTAAAGTTGACAAAGTTTATAATGCACTTTCTCAACACTAACTTGTATTTCCAACCTTATAAAATGATTTAAATTCATTGTATAAAACTTGGAAAATCTGGGAAAGAATAAAGCTAAAACCAAATTGTTATCTTACAACTTGGAGTCAATTATTTCAATATTTTCAAACAAACAAATTCAAGACAAATATATGTCTATATATCCTTTATATAGGCAAGCGCACGCGCGCGCGCGCGCACACACACACACACACACATACACACACATACACACACACACACAAATTAACCAGATCTCATTAGGCAAAACCATTTAACTTTATCTAGAAGAGCACCAAACTGGAGTTGTAGAAAGGAATAATGAAGAATTCAACTTGGGCGGGGGAGAATTCAACTGGGATCAAGAGTATCAGTTATATTTTGCTCAAAAATGTATTTAGGTGATCTTAAAATAAAAATGATCTGAGAATGCATCTAACATCTATAAATTCCAGAATGACAGAAAAAGCATATGAAATTTTGACCTTGTTCTAATGTAAGCTCCTCCAGTCTCATTTCTGTGCCTCTTATTTTCTTTAATTTCCACAGATATTGCCAGCGTCTCACCGGGGTCCTTCCTTGTCACTCCTGAGGACACACTCCTCAATGGCACTAAGATGCCTATAATAGTAAGAACTTCTGAGAGTCAATTTAGCTCCTTGCATGACTGTTTTTGTTGTATTAGTAAAATGGAATAAGAGAATGGATTAACTGGACGTTCAATATTATTGGTGTTACATTTTTATCACTCCAATTAATAGTTAGTGACTTTGCTCTATTCACAAGTCTCACTTCTCCCTAGGGACTGAGAGGGAGAAATAAATTGAAAACTAGGATAAGGTGGGAGAATTGCAAAAAGCAACTTAATTACAAACTCTGGGAAGGCAGGTACCTAACAGTACTTTATATACAGCAGGTGCTCACCAAGCTTTAGAATGAATGAAGTGTTCTTTCTCCCGTGAAGTGTAATCTCACGCTGACAACAAGGGTAGAAGTTTTGTTCTCAGTCATGTCCAGCATGAATAGGTCAGAAAAATGTCAAAATGATTGAAATCCTGCGTGTCAAATGGGGAAAAATAAAAACAGAGGCAAGAAGAGCACTAGCAGCCTTTCCATTTGAAAAGGCATGCAAGATGAGAGGACTGTTACAGAATTTAATGTTGGTTATCAAAAAAGGTTATCAACATTTTTAACCTCTCTAAAAAGCTCTGAGCCAGATGCTTAAGGCGGAAACAGAGAAACAATATCCTCCTTATTTATGAGCAGTGGAGTTATGGCAGCATGAGTCGGCAGCAGACTCAGCATGGGGCTGTGGAATAGGGGTGACAAGTCAGAAAATGGGTCCTGTCATCCTCACACTGCCCCTACAACCAGATCTGCCATCCCCTGTGTCTGCCATCCCCTGTGTCTGCCATCCCCTGTGGCCTGTGAGACTTCTCTAGCCCTTTCCTCTTTTCTCCAAGGCACAAGTCAAAGCCCAGATGGTGAAGGCAGGAAATTCAGTTTCTCCAGCTCTACATGAAAATTTAAAAATTAAAACCCTGCTGGCCATTCTCTCTTTCTGGCCTTTAGGCCAGATGGCTGCAGATTTGGTGGAACTATTGTTATGAACAAAGAATAAAAATGTTTTATTTTTCTCAAAACTACTATTCCATTAACAGTGAAAAGTGCTGTTGAAAAAAATTATTGAGATTAAACATATTCACTATAAAATTTCTACAACTCCTATTTGCCTTCTCTATTTTCTCACATTACCTGTGTCTAAATCTTCAAAATCTAATTTAGGTCTCTCCTTCTGCAGTAAATATCCTCTGAATATTTCATTTTACATTCATTGCATCCTTCTCTCGACATCCTTTTTACCAACTGCATCTATTACTTATTCTTTCAGTTAGCAAACATTTAACTGACCTGCCAGACACTGGGCTATGCACCAAAGGTCCTAAGATAAACAAGATACAGTCCCTGCCTTTAAGAAATTTATAATGCAACTAAGTACAACAGAATAGTCTAAGTGCTATGACTGAAGATGGCACATGTATGGACCGGGACAAATTGATATGCCGGGATGGGTTGCAAAGGACGTGATCCCTAGTCATGTATATTCACTGAGAGCTTTGTACATAAATGGCTTCCTGTTTTTTAGTTTGGGAAATTGCATGAAGTGTGAGAATCATGCTGGATTCAAGGAGATTATATGGGGGGGTGACAGGATTAACATATAAAAAGAAGACTCTGGGTGAGTAAATCACAGGTACCAAATGAGCAATTCAGATCTTATCCACTACTACAAGAGGTCAAAGGAGGCAAAGATTTCCACCCTAGATAGTCAGAGGATATATTATTGTAAGTAAACCATGAAATATTGGTAAGAAGTAAAAAAGGGTGTGTGTCTGTGTGTGTGTGTGTGTGTGTGTGTGTTTGTGTTATTGCTGGAAGTGGGCATGGGGACCAGTGAGGACGGTCTCCAGTCAGAAGATTATCACAAGCTATATGATGTCTCAGCAACAGTGAATAAAACCATTTGTTGGTCAGGGCAGGGAGAAGTGAGACAGACTAAAACAGTTCAAGCAGATTGGTGTCAGAGAGTGGACTCTTGAATGTCAGGAAAAAAGAATTTGGACTTTATCCCATAGATAATACGGAGTCACTGATGGTGCTGGGTAAGAGGCATAAAAATTAATCCAGCGGTTGAGGGTAAATTAGGAGACTTGTCACTAATACATCTAAAGAATTTATTTAAATGTCTCTTGTGAATTTCAAATGTGCCTAATGAAATGGTAAGCTTCTAGAGGATAATACCACATACCATACTTTTCCTTCAACTTCCCATAGATCCTAGCACTGTGCTACACCCATACAGATGCTCAGAGTATATTATTTGAATGGATGGATGAATGAATGAATGAATGAAAAGATTTTCGTTAAACAAACATCAGTAGCCTGGTAAGTGTAAATCCATGTCCTCTGTGTGCCCCAGTAAAGTTAGAGGTTATTCTGTTGTCCAATGCCCATGGAAGAGGGGGGTTTGTGATAAGAAATGAGGAGAAACTACATCAGCTACCACCCAGATGAGTTTTGCCCCTCATGGCATTTTCCATTGACTGTTCTCTTCTCTCGGCTTCTATAACACTGATTTCACCGTAAGAGACTATACACTACCAGAGACAGTTAATTTTCCACAGACGTATTTTTTACTCTTTTGAGAAAGTTGTACAGATCTCAGGATCATCTTGGTACCAAGGCTGAAAATTTGTCAAACCCCAAGTTTGAAACCCAGATCCAGGCTTGTTCTGTGCCCCGGGAACCCACATGAGTTGAGAACAATGAGAGACTCCTGCTCGATCTCAAACTAAAGAACAAGAATGATGACCCCTGGCCTTTTGTGATCAAAGGCCAAATCCAGGTCATCAGAACAGTACTTTTATTCTTAGCCACATTTTTCCAAAGGTGGCCTAAATATGCCATTCCCTCTGAGAGAAATTTCAAGTCTTCCCTTGACCTGACAGTGCCTTCTAACCTGTCTAGAATCTTCTCTAAAAAGAATTTTAAAATATCACAGTATCCATAGGTTATTTTATCTAATCTAATCTTCATCACAGAGTATTTATAAAGTTACACAAGGATGTGGCACAATCCTAATGATGCTCCAGTATTATACATAAATTATGTATGTGTATGTATATGTGTATAAATGCTTTCATGAAAAGCACACAGTCATAAAATGACAGTGTTTTCAAAGATTCTAAGTAATTAACTCATTGGAGATTTGGTGCTTTGTCTCTCAATGAAATTCACAGGCCACATCTAGTTAATAGGACTTTTATTCTAAAAACACTAGAGCCTTCATACTCCACTTCTTGAGACAAGATCAACATATGTTATATAATATAGCCATTTGCTTATGGTTTATTTTAATAGAAGACCTTTTTTTAACTTAGGAAAGAGAAATAGAATTCACTGAGGTATCTGAGGGCCCACTGGAGCAGAAGGTGGAGCTGAGTATCTCTCTGGCAAACCAGAAGTTCAAGTCAGAACTCGCTGACTCCCAATCCTCATATTACCAGGAGCTAGCAGAGAAGTCCCAACTTCAGGTGAGTGAACTCAGCCCATACAACCACAGCCCAAGTCATGACTCAAACCTGGGACCAAATAGGACATAAACTCTTTTGGCTAAGTTCCAACTTCTTGTGAACAGGCATTCATTTTTAACCATTAAAAATAAATCAAAACTGCAATGGGTTCCAAAATATTAGAACAAATGGATCTCCAGGTAAGTTTTCCATTCTGGTTTTCCATCCATAAAAGTCATTTACATTTAGATTTTCTTTAAATATTAGCAGGTTTTTAAATCTCATTTAACTGAAAGCCACTAAGCAGATATTCTATATGTCTAAAACGTCCATTTAGGCACCAACTAGGGAACATGCTGGGTTGAAATATGAATTTTTAATTCACAATACTTTGTCTTACATAATATTTTCATTTTTGCAGTCTGCTGCAATTTAAAGATATGACATTTTTCACGGGTGATAAGTGAAAGGCAGTTATGTTGTCCATGTTATCCATCACTAAACAAAGGAGCTGTCCCAAGATGTCTCTTCCATCTCTGACCATCATCGTATCTGTCTGTCCCCAAATAAATCAAAAGGAGTCTTCATTCCCTGCAGGATAAATCCAAACTGCTCTGCTGAGCATAGCATGTATATGCCATGAAAAGATCCCCGCCTATCTTCCCAGCTTCACCTTAACACTAGTTCTTTACCATCCCCCCTTCTTTTCACTCGCTTTCCACAAACCACTTACAAATCTTTTCTCCCCATTAGTCTTTACATGTCCCTCCTCCTCTGTCTGGAATGCCATTCCCTGAGTTTCAAATTACAAACATCATGAAAAATTCTCTCTACCCATATTCTGGGTTCAGTGCCTCTCCTCTGAGCTAACACCCAGGGCCACTGTTGTCTCAACACTTATCACTCTGTCTTGAGGTTGTTTGTTTACATGGCCTTTGTTGTCTCCATTCCTCCCTCCTCAGCCACTACCCTCACTACCATTAGGCTTTGAGCTTCTCCTTAAGAGCAGGAACCTTCTCTTCCATCTCTTCAGCCTTTCTTCCTAATACAGAGTTTGGAATGCAGTTAACTACTCAGTAATGTAAAAAAGCAACTGAAAATAGAAGCACCCATGAGATTTCATAATATGAGCTACATGTATGGACAGCCTGGGTACCCAAGCATCTTACACGGAGAGGGAACAAACAACTTCCCACTTCTCATACTTAGCAAATTCAACACTTACCTCCTCCCAACTGGAGAGGAGGTAAGTGAAAAAACTTTCTTAACTAGCAACCTCTCCCTGCATTAGCCATCAGTCAATAAAATGTAAAGAATCATTTCTACAAACTTCAAAGAGAAAGCATTAGCACGAGGTGTTTATGAACCATAAAAGTACTTAGACATGTATTATTAGATAGAATTAATTTTAAAAATAGTCTGTTAACTTTTCTGTTCTTTGAAATATTCTCTTCAGCAAATCCTTAGTATAGTGAGTGTCTCCAAAATTGGATAATTGACCATAGATTGTCTTCACTGACCTGTTGTTAATTTTCTAAGCACGTAAAACAACCTGATGTAGAATAATGCAAATAAATTATAATACTTTTAAAATCTGAGTTTTAGTCTTGTTTCTTCCAAGACTTAGTCATGAGAATTTGGGGATCACTTTTCTGACCTTAGATTCCCATTTAGAAATTGAAGATGACCTCAAAGTCCCTTTCCAAGTTAAAACATTATATACGGAAATAATACCACTGTTCTCAATCTTCTATATGTATTCGCTCGTTTCATTTTTCACACAATCCTATAAGTTATATTATTTCCAGTTTTTGCAAGTGAAGCTACTGAGGCAAAAGGTGATTCCTTAATATGCCCCAAAATGTCACACCTATTAACTGGCAAAGCCAAGATTCAAACACAGGCAGCCTGGCACCAGAATCCCTGCTCTTAACCACCATGCTATAACTCCTATTTTCCCCAAATATTTATGGGGGAAGGATTTTTGCATCGTCATCAGAAAAACATGCCCCTCATAGCCTCTGAAATACTGATTAGCTAAAGAAGAATAGGTCTTGTTTGGTCTTGTTCCAGAGACCTATTACATCAGCCCAGCTGGTTCCATTTGTGTGGTTGTGGCCTCTCTGAGATGAAGCCCCTCTGCTTAGGGCATCTGTTTCCCTCCCAGGCTCCTAAGCAGTCCAGACACCTAGCCGCCTGCCATCAGATAACTAACCAGCCCCACCACAGCCCACTTGCATTAGCACGGTCATTTGGACCTAATCGGAAATTAATGGACAGTGCTTTGCAGTAATTTAATTTCCACAATAAACTTAATGAGCAATTTAATACAAATGTCAAAAGGAATGCTTAGTTGTCTGAATGCTTTCTCCTGTGCAAACATTCATGAGAACTCAACACGGCTGCCTTTTTATAGCCCCGTTAACATACATTCCGGCAGAATCAGGGAGGCCCCTGTGCATTTAGTATTATTAATAAGGTTAACTGAGCACTTAATTAGCAATTTAGTGGTTAGTGCTCCATGATTGGAAGGTTCCCAGAAGATTATTTAGCAGAATTAACTGAAGGCCTTTGTCATCTCCTCCCTAGATGCCTCTGCACCCTTCTAAGCAAAGCTGATTCTTAATCCATCACAGACAGGTTCACAAAGAGGGCATGGACACAAACAATAAAACCCCTCCACTGGAGCCAGTGCTGTGAGCACTCCTGGAGGGGAGGACAGCTCTCCCCAGCAATGTACTCTGCTGCCTATGCTCGCAGCTGTGGGCTTTTATGGTAGCAGTTCTGTGCTTAACTGATTGTTTTCACACATACAACAGAATCTCTGGTATCCTGGGCAAGAAAGAGGAATGAGTCAGGGTTTGAATCTTCTGCTCCAGAAATTGCAGCTCACACTTAAACATTCAGTCCTAGGTGCTATAACTGGAATGCCATGACAAATGCTTATGACCCCAGCTCTATTTCTCACAGGAGACCAGAGCAGACCTAAGGCATGTACACAGCTCTTTCCCACCTGCCCCAATAATAAAGAAAGACCAGCTCTGCAGAACCTAATCTGCTAGCTGGCTCCCGGCAAGAGTGGAGGCACAGAAACTTACTACCCAGGCCCCTGGCCCTTGACCCCTATGGGAACTTTCATCCTGTCCTTCCCCACACTGAGTCTTTTAAAAACAACTGACTGAACATTTGCTCTACTCTTGCCAGGCTCCATGCTATGTGGCTATTAAGGAAGTAAAAGAAAATCAGGCTATCAAAGAGCTAATAATTCAGTAGCAGAGATAGAGAATAGTAAATAATACAATATCACTGACTCCCTGCCCACTGTGTGTCAGACACTTATTAGTTATTCCTTAAAGCAATCTTATGATATAGGTGTTATTATCTCATTTTGGTTAAGGAGGCCAAGATTCAGAAAAATTAGGCAATAAATTTAGATCATGCAGTTAAAAAGTAACAAAACGAATATTTAAACTCAGGCCTATACGGCTATCTGCTTATCACCCAAAACTTGAGCTATCTTTATCATTGTAGTTACTATACACTCAGGAAACAAAAACTATTTTAATATTGGTGCAAGAAAATATAATTTAGGAGGTAAATCCGTCTGGTGGGGGAAAAAATTCATGATACATTCCAAAACCCGATGTAAGTGATTTGGGGATTATCTGCATATCGATGCTCTAGTCCTTGGCATAGATAATGTAGAGTCTGCAATAATTTTAGATATAGTGGCAATGCAGTGGCATGCTGATGAGTTTAGAGGAGAAGAGACGCATTCGACTTGATTAAACAAAATGTGCTGAGTCCCTACTATGTGGATGACAATCCACTAGGTGCTGGGAGGGAGGAGTTAAAGATGAGTAAGCAAGACATGATCCCTGAGCCCGAGGATCATAATCTCTATGAGGGAGACAATATGGACTTCATAGACTGTTTTTATGAAATGTACAGTAATAAGTTCTAGAGTAGTAAGGAGAAGAAATAATTAGGCCTGACTTTGGGGCCCTACAAATACTTTTCAATAGAGATGTTTGAGTTGGCTTTGAAAGATGAGTGGGGGAAGGGAATATCGATGAAGAGAGGTAGAAGAATTTGCATCTTGGACTAAAGGAAAAAAATTTATAGACATCTGGAGGAAAGTACATGTTGTATTAGGGGAGAAACAGGGGTTGGTTTAATGTAACTAGAAGATACAAATATTGGCCAAGGGGGTAATGATGGCAGAAAGTGCAAATAGTGAGGTACTTTGTGGGGTAGATTGTAGAGGGTCTTAAATGCTATTCTAAAGTATTAGACCTTATTTAATAGTCAGTGCAGCCCACCAAGTGATTTTTAGTGAAGAGCAACAAATGTGGAATGATTAACTTGGAAAAACATTGTAGTTGAGAAGACCTCTCCCTCATACCCACAAACTCAATGCACCCAAAAAGCCATTTCTCCTCCCTCCCCCAGTGCACACCCAGAAAATTATTTCAGTGGTACAGAAAGGGCAATAGGCAGGGTATAACAGTCATGGGAATAAGAAGAACATGGTGAAAACAAAAGGCATGTGAGAGTTGAACCAAGAAGACTTGGTGACTAGATGTGAGAGACACAGAGGGGAGTTATCTAGGGGTGCTGGCTGTCCGGCATGGAACGTGATGGGTGTTCATGACCCTGACTGACATAGAGAGCCCAGGAGGAAAGGCAGATTTGAGAGGAAGAGAATGACTCTGGTTTGGACATATTTAGTTAGTGGTAAATATTGGGATAGTCATGTGGAGAGCTCAAAGCTATGTGTCAGGAGATTGTTGAAGCCATGGGAGAAAAAGAGATCCGCATCAAGAGACAAAGGGAAGCAGGCACAGGGAAGGGAGGACAGGGTTGTGTCCCTGTTTACCTCTTCAGCCTATTGCACTTTCACCCTGCTGTTCCTCCCAAGCTTCATTACTAAACCATTCTCTCTTCCTCTTGGTTTTTCCTGCCTACCAGACTTCATCCAAGTAAGTTGGATGGGTCAGTGCCTTTCCATCAATGTGACAGTGTGTCCCGAGAGCCTAGCACAATGCCCAGAGTCAAGCTTACTGAATAAATGAGAGAATGAGTGAGATGAAGAGGCTGAGGGCACAGACTTGCAGAATCCTTACATTTAAAGTAGAGAACAGAGACAGGAATAGGATAAAGACTGAGAGAGTAGTCAGAGAAATGGAAGAAGAACCCGAAAAAAGCAGGGACACCATGGAGAAAGAATGGAAAATGCCACTGGATTTGGAGAGAGCCAAGAGACTATGACCTGGAGAGAACCATTCCTCCTGGGGCGATCCAGGAGCAGAGCCAGACTGTAGCGGGTCAGTGAGTGAGTGGATATAACAATCATAAAATACTCTGATAATATGCCTCGTTAGCGAGATCAGATTAGTTTAAAAACTTATTGAAAAGTTCACATAAGTCTAAGGGCCAGTCTAGTCTGTTAGAGAAGAATCTGCTTCGAATGTCTCATTTAAGTGCAGCAGCCATTTGACTTTAACATTACAGATATTTTTCCGGATCATATAGTTCAATTTGAAAGATATCACAGTTACTCTATGTGTATAAATAAAAATACTGTGGCCAAAAAACTTTCTTCCAAGTATCACTTTAAAGCTATAACATGTTTTATATAAATAACCATTAAAGCAAGTCAGAACTACCCAATTACAGTTTTACAGCTTTTAAATAAATAGCAAAAACGCTTTCCTCTGGGTTTTAGAAATCACTAAAAACAAACCTGGCCTCAATCATTGCTTCAGTTTTCCATTTTCATTTTTTTCTCCTAACTCACCAAAAATGTTTAGGCTCTTTCAGTTAGGCAAGATCTGACCCAGTAGAACCAAAAAAGTATTTCATCAATTTTTTTCTCTCCACAGATGCAAAAGATATTTAAGAAACTTCCAGGATTTGAAGAAATCCATGTATTAGGATTTAGGTAAGTAAGAGAATCAGACGCTTCTCAATTTTTAAATCACTTTCTTCCTCTACTCTTTTAAACCGATGTCATGAGGATTATAAAGTCTCTTTTCTCCCAATTGTTTAGCTCTGCCTAATCACTAAAATGGAATACATATCAGATAAAAGAATTGTCTAATTCGAACATGACTCTAGGTGATTTTTTTTAAAGAGTAACACAGGAGCTATGTTCCTTCCTCCCTCCGGAGTCAGAAACACTGCTCTCTGCAGAGAGCTCATCTGCTGTCCTTGGCAAAGTTATCAATGAACCTCCTGGGAAAATAGAGGTATATCAAAAAAGTTGCCTTGTTGTCTGATTGCCTGGTTTCCTGGTGAGGCTAAATATCATTGTTTAAACAAATCAGACTGACCCAATGAGAAAAAGGGAAAACTAATAAACAGTGATGCCTATGGGTAGCAGGGTTGGAGGAATGGGGTGGACAGGGATGGGTGGAAGCAAGACTTCCCAAAATATACCTTTTATATCATTTTGATATCTGAACCATAGCAATATATTACCACAGAAAACATCCAATTAAACTTTTAAATAGAAAAAATGAAATAATAAAATAGTGCCACATTACAGTAGGATTCTATCATGTTCCCTCGGCTCTCCCACAGGAGGCCTGTATCCATAGGCATCCCAACATTCTAATGTGGGTTCGTGATTTCGGGCAAGAATTCTTGCTTCTTTAAGTTCTCATTATTCGAAACATCTACAGGTGGGGTCATAATATGTTTTTTTAATGTACTGCAGGATAAACATCAGCCCTGGTGTGACAGAATGAGGTTCTAGAACTTGAGGGAGATTTGTAAAGTGGGTAGAGCAGGAGTCACCCTAAGTCCTTCTTTGCCCTTTCACCTTCTATTGTCTTAAAGCAAGAGGGTGCACAGAACCGGGGCTCCATGTGCTCACAAAGAATAAATGGAGGGAGAACTCCACCAGTTTATTTCTTTCGAAAACATCAGGCCCCTCTGATTGATGTAATTCTAAAGGAAAGAAACACTGAAAAGTAAAAGCTATAAAAGATGCAACCCTTAATATTTACCAAAGCAGACTCATTTTTCTTTATTTCAAGATGCTGCTCCACAGTATTCCATGTGAAATCAGATGGATTAGAGAGAAATAAAAGGTGATAGGAGAATATTCTGCACAGATGGCAGGGTCTTCTGGATAAACCACTGCAGTTAAAGAACAAATTTTTCATTTAAACCTGAAGGAAATGATAGGAACGGTTTTCTTCGGTGAATGTTCAAGTGCTCATTATCCCCTCTTTTCAAATAAATGAAAAGCTAATAATAAAAAATATTCTATTTCAGAAGAAAATCAAAATATTAGATTGATGAAATTTTGCAAGGTAAAAATTTTAAAGATATATCCCTTGAAGCGGCATCTTTTCCATGTGTTTATCTCTGCAAAAATTTATTCCTTTTCCTGCCAAAGATGCTTATAAAGGAAATTCGATGACACTTTCTTAATGATTTCTATTATGTGATGAAGGCTTAGTCTCCCAAATAACATTCGACCCTGAATATAATAAATGATCTGCTTATAAGTATGGCAAACTTTTAATCATTAATAACGATGCTCAGACTGTTGTAAAGTTAACTCATGAAGGAAATTGCTTTCTCATGGAGACAGATCCCCACAAAACCTAAAATTTTGTGTGTCTCCTGATACTGTCTTTATTTCAGTTTATTATATAAAACCTGATCAATTTAATAAGTACTTTTATTTCAGTGACCTCATTCGATTCTCTCAACACAACTGAGAAGTAGTTAGGACATCTATTATTAATATGATTATAAAGATGAACAGTAAAGGTTCACTTTAAATATTGCTTTATCTCTTAAAACAAATATGGGAAACTATTAACATTTAGTTGGAGGGTATACTCCTTCAAAGACTTGTACACAACTGTCCATACTAGCTTTATCTATAATAGCCAAGAACTGAAAAATACGTAAATGCCCATCAACAGAGCAATAAATAAACATAATTTTATACCTAACCTCAACTCTAAACCTAACCCTGACCCTAACCCTATATACCTATCCTCAATCCTATCCCTAACTCAAACCCTAACCCTAAAGTAAAACCTAACCATAATCTTAACCCTAACCTATACCTAATTGCCATCATAACTCTAAACATAACCAACCATAACCATATAAGTAATTTCAGCCTTAACCCTACATTTAATCCTAACCATAACCCTAACCCTATGCCTAACCTGAACCCTAAACTCAACTCTAACTCTAAACCTACAGCTAACCTCAACTATATTTGTAACTCTGATCACAGCACTTCAAAAAACAGTCAACAAAACACCAGTTCCAGGGCCAGTCTCGGATAAATTAGATTAAAAATTGAACTAATCACTTAATGCTATTTAGGGAGTGAGAAATTCATTTATAAAATACTTTTTAAAAAAACTTTCTGGCATCAGTACTAACCAAAATGTAAGATGTATAGGATGTATTTGCAATCTCTTTAGGAGGAATATGAGGAGCTCAAAGATTTTAAGAAGAATAAAAGTACATATAATCTTTGAACTAATATTCAGATCTTAATCAGACACATCATATAATGATGTTTACTTCCTGTGATTTATATGGTTTTTAAATTTTCCATCCAAATTCTGATGACAATTTGTATGTTTCCTTCAAAGCTCTGAGCAAGTATGGGAGACAGTGGAAAGAAATCTTTTTGTTTTTTGGGTATATGAAATGATATTTTGAATGTCTCAATAAATTTCATAAAAATTCTTCTTCCTTGCATGTTCCCATTGTGCATGATGAAATGAAGACCAAAGAAAGAAAGAGATGGGTAATTTGGACTTTTCTTCTTCTTATTTTTAATAATCATTATATTTATTCATACATACTATATATATAACAAAGCACATCATGCAAAGATTAGAGGTCATATTAATTGAGGATAGCAATGCAGTAATTTATACATTCATCTTGTCCACAATAAACCAAATGTTGTTTGACAGTTGAATGTTCTCTATATTTTGTCAGTAGGTACTTATACAGAAGGAAAAGCCTCAACCTCCATCTTTTCTTCCTCCTTCATACAAATTTGGAGTCTTATACCATGTTTTTCAATTAATGATTTAAGCAAGGCATGTCCTACACACACACACACACACACACACGCACACACACACACACAGTCACAAAAGCAATGATTTCAAATGTTTCTGATCATCTATAAAAGTTATTCTAAAAGACCTTAATAGAAGGACATGAGGTGAATTTTTAACCACTCAGACTTAAAAGAATAACTGCCTTCATGTCTGATTTTTGAACAGTCCACTAATCCCCTCAAGAATAGAATCGCATTCTTCCAGGAAGAGTATCGACAAAAATCTACAAACAATCACGGGAATAAATACTCCTAAAGTTAAGCAGAGGAGACAAAGACACAGTTGTTTCATCAGAGAATGCGAAACCACCTTTTGTCTTATTTTAGAAAAAAAGGTTCTTAAAGTGGACTTGATATTTATTTTCTGAAAAGTAGGATTCTGTCTACTCGCATAAGAGATAACTCTGAAACAGATGCCAGTGGGCATGCTTGCTGCTGCCTCTTCTTTCTCAGGGATACTAGAGTGTTTCTGAATCGCTCAGTGGGCAAAATCTTCATAGGGCATATCTGAATTTTCACCAAATGCGAGAGGCCTAGGGACCTCTGGGCACTAGAGATAGAGCTGAGGCCGTGCCCTCTCCCCCACACCAAAGGTGGTCACAGAGCCTCACAGAGCAAAAAAAGATGCCCCAGGGACCCCCAGGAATGCTGTCCTAGGGCTGAATCTGGAAGCGGGACAATAAAGACATCTTTCCTATGGGCTGAAAGTTTCCAGACCTTAAACAGTTGTCTCCAATGTCTATTAAAAATACTAGGGTACCGATCTGCCAACACATTCCCCCTGAACTTCCAGTCATTCTGATGAGGACTCCCACCAGAATGGAAAAATTGTGCAGTGGGAGTGCAGGTCAGTGGCTCCATGGGATTGGAATATTATCATATTGTCAGTAGTTTTATTTTAAAAATTGCTCTTCAGTTCCAAGGTCAGTTTGAATTAGACAAGAGCCCACTACACTTTGAAGAGCTCAGTCATAAGAATCCGGCTTTGGTTCCTATAATTGACTAGTGAAATAATGAACTGTAGACTCCAATTGCTTGGCCCAAAGAACTGCTAAGAATACACATTATCAGTTCCTGTGGCCTTTAAAACACTTTTGCATCTTTCTGTGTAGGTTTAGGGCATGAACTAAAAGGTAAAACCTGATCTAAGAGGACAGAGCTACAAAGAATTCTATTTCATTTTTACATGCAAAAAGGCATTGAATCAATAAATGTAATAATATAGTTAACCATGTGCTACTTTCCTTTCTCCTTTCTCACAACTTTCTTTTGAGATGTTATTTTTAAAACAGCTTGAGAGAAAAGATTATGATTTAATTTAGGTTTTATTTTTTAATTAAAACAGTACTTGAAAAAAGTAGAAGAGAAATATCCTTAAGAACTAAAGCTTTGAATTGGTTACAACGTGTACATATTATTGTCCCACTGCTATATCCTACATTGCTATTTCATAACCTTTTAAAATGCAGTTATTTGTAGGAAAAATGACAATTCACCCTTCTTGCTGATTGGCACTGCATGACTCCACTTATAAGACCACTAAAAACACTGGTCAATAGAGCAACTCTTGACAACACTTTTTTCATAAAGACTTAAAGTAAAAATCTATGGTCAAGATTCAGTTAGTAATCCCTCTTCACACTGGATTTAACTCCCATCTTTACATTCTATTTCAGAACAAAAAATATATGTCAATCCTTTTCCACATTTCCAACCTCTGATAAACATTGAAATTACTTTTGAAGTGGGATATTTTTTAAGAGCCCATCAGGACAGAGGTTGAATCTGTCCTGAAGCTTTGAGCAATATAATGACTCTCTTTCCAAGGTGTGTAACAATGGCTTTGGGTGTGATGTGTCCTCTGCTTCTACAGCTCAAGCTCCATAGAGATGCAACTTATGGCCGTCTTTAAGAGAAACAGTGCAGAAGCAAAAAGTCCTGCAAGTAACATGCTGTCTTTTGATTCCAACAAAATTGAAAGTGAAGGGGTCCTTCATGGAAAGATGGAGGATGACAAGCAATCAGAAATCTATCTCACAGTTTCAGACCTCAAAAAGCTGATCAGCAGAGCACTACAAGAAGACGAATCCTTGGATGTGGGGACAATTCAGTTCACTGATGGTCAGTTTGTACTTTCATATTTCTTGGTTTATCCTCATTCTGACAGAAGGATAAGGAGGACAAATGTCTCATAGTCACTGTAATTTATTGGACCTTGTAGAGTCAGTCAGTTCTGTGGCAGGCACATCATGTATAGTATGATTTCTGTCTTTCCTCACTCTAACCTCTGTCTCATTTGATGAGCCTTTGGTGAGTGCTTCACACCAAGAATACCTGTAGGAGAAGCCAAGAGTTTTAGTTCAGTCCAGCTCAACCACAGTCATCCAGTGAAGCCCAGGTGGACAACCCATGGACAATTCTGTTCCTCTGGCACAACCTAGATTCCCTCATCTAGTAAATCGGTCAGGTTCCAAAAGGAAACAGATGACACATTCAAATTAGGATAATTTGAGGAGAGTTTGATAAAGGGACTGTTTATAAAGGTTTGTCTAGTACCCAAAGGAATAGGACAGTTCCTTGGAGTAGAAGCAGCAAGGCCCATTATTACCTCTATGCCTAAAGGGTTGCCTAATGAACCAAGCCATACCAAAGGCAGAGGGCAAGCAACCACTGATATAGTCCATATAAGTCAACCTCCTAGGACAGAGAGTAGTGGAGAGAGAAGAGAGTGGATCTAAAGAAGTCAAGAAGATAATAAGGTACATTCATGATCTTTAGTGGGTGCCTGGAGGAACCCAGTAACCTAAAACTCAACTCCTCAGTAGGCCCAATTCTCCTGGCATAATAGTTGGATGACATGACATGAAACTGGCATTCTCTGCCAGTTCTGTCTCTCTGGTTTAGATAGTCAAACTCAACACTGGAAAACTTAACCAAGGTCTCTTGGTACAATATGCAGAGCAAATGAACGTACAAGGTAAGAAAAGATGTACTTCGGGCTCATCTGAGACCATCTGGTACTCTAGATTTATCTCTTCATTGAACTCTCTAGGATGTTCTGAGAATCAGGCTTTAGGTTGGAAGTGGACTCTACAAATTGTCTTTGGTTCCGATATGTATCCTAGCCATTTCTTTCTTTCTCAGTTAGTTATGTTTTCATTTCCTTTGGCCTAGCCAATCAGCCTGCCTGTTTGATCCAAGGCTGTACAATAAAACTAAACACCCTAACAGTCCACCTTGATAACTGTTCTTATCACATAAACATGCAAGATACGACCCTTATATCTGTTCTTCAATATATTGTTCAGATCAATAACCACTAGCTTATGTGACACCAACTTCTTAATGATCTCTTCCAGCACTCCCTAAGACCTGATTATTGCCACGTTTTACAACTCTGTTTTATTGCCCCAAAAGGAAAAAAGAAAAATAAAGAAACACTAAAACTTTGTGATTTTTCCATCCACAGAAATTGTTGAGTCATTGTCAGGCTTTGATATTGATACCCCGTCAGTACTGCCTACCCACCTTGCTGACATCACAAAGGTGAGTTTATTGTTCTTCAAATAGAAACAAAGCCTCAAAAACCAACTTAAGGACTAAACATAGCAGAACCCCCTTTGCAGTGCTGAATAT